CAGAGGAGGTTTGTACTGAGAGGCAATCAAGAAGCGCTGCAATGGTTGATCAAATTGCAAGGCGTGGAGGTGGAGGATTTGTCATGGGAAGATGCAGCTTGGATCAAGGTCCAGTTTCCAGCTTTTTCAACTTGAGTCGATTTTTAGGGCGGGGAGACTTGTCATGCGCGCCAAAATTCATTCCGTGGAATTTTCAAAATAATTCCCTAAACGCAGCCGTTTGGAGTAATTGAGTTGTAAGTCAAAATTAATGTTGCACATGCAAACTTAGTCTTACTGCTGTAGTTGACGTGGTCGGAGTTTCTTATATATAGTTCGGCGTTGTAATTCTAGAAGTATCAAAAATCATTTGTAAAACTTTGAGTACTGAATTCAAGAATTCCTTTCTTGATTTTCTCTCTAGATCGGCGTCGGAGTTCGTGAGAATTTCTGGTTTCCGATCATTTCTTGCTTTACTGTTTCCATTACTGACCGAAATATTCACCGATTTTGACACCCACATCGATGTCGTGAAGAAACTGTCACCTGTTTATAAGCTCCAAAGATCACCCCAGTCATTGTCAATTGATTTTGAGATGAAAGCCCAAGATAACTTTTACACTTTCATGGTTTCATATCCCTCCCTCCGTTTCTCTTCTCCCACCTCTTATCTATTGGCGATTTTTCCATTCAACCTCTGCCAAGAAACCAATCCAAGGTTAAGCAAAAAACTATTTCTGCCGATTAGACAAAGTAATTATTGATTGGAACATTAGAAGAGAAAAGAGAGAAAATATCCAATTTCTTCTTAACAATATTATCATCATTTACTTCTTATGCTTAGGCTCAATTAGCCGAGATAGGGAATAGGTTCCCTTCACTGTTTGTCAAGTCATTTATAGATATATCACGTGCATAATTGTGTCCATGGTTGTCCTTGTTTTATTTTGTTTTTCTCAATTTCTAACTTTCTTTATGCATTGCGTTTCGTAATTTATCTGCAAACTTACTTTATGGTGATTAGCTAGTGCTGTTCTCGGCCTTCTTTGTTGGAGCAAGTTGGGGGTGCTTTGGTTTATTGAAGGTCGGATTTTTTTCTCTTGTCATTTTAAAACAGCATATGCTTTTCTATTCATACGGTTTTATATTTTAGAAGTTTGGGGATTGAGTTGTTTCGCTATTGTCTCATTTCATTTGAATGCTTTGATGGAAGTATTGAAAATTCAGATACTAGATATAATTTTGTTTTCTTTTTTAGGAGTAACAGTAGTTTTGTGTTAGAAATATTGGGTGCACATGGATCGAAATATTATTGCTCACCCATAGCTCAAAATGCTAATGCCATTGTGATATCTGCTACGTCCAAAAAAAAAAAAATAGTGCATATTTGAAAATTCAGATAAAGGTTATATAATTCTACATGGCTAAATTCACCCGGGTTTTTGTATAATTGATTACTGGACGTTCTCCCCGTACCTTTGGTATAATATTACTTTTGAAAAGAAAAAGAAGAAAAGTTGTTTATAACCTTTCATACAAGTACTCTAAATTTAGTAGCCACTAGTTGATTGAACTCGGAATTGAAAGCGCTTCGCGTGTGCCATAATTTTAAGAATCTACAAAAATAATAATATATAATAAATCAAGAAAAAGAAGAAATGTAAAATACAATGACGCTAAATTATTGGTTCTATTTAATAAATTCAATCTCACGAATAAGAGAGTAATACGATTAATAATGAAATTTTATATTTACATGAAAATAAAAATATGCAACTAACAAATAAAATTTTTACATTTAAGTTAAATTACATTTCAGATATATGTATAAATTGTAATAAAAAAATTATACTTAAATAAACCCAAATCAACACAATTTCAGATATATGTATAAATTGTGACATGAAAAACTATTTTATCACCAAATAATAAACCCAAATCAACACAGGAAAGCAAATAATGAACCCAAATCAACATGCAAAAATGAAAAATGCTTACCTTACTTGGATTTCAATTTTCAGGTTTTCTTTAAACTTGTAATTCTAAGATTTGTTACTATTTTATAAATACATATATTATCATAGACATTCTTTATTATTCTTTTTATACTATAACTATCAATAAAGCATCAAAATATTCATGCAATTGTGAGTGTGCAAGTAACATGACAAATATACATAATATGACTTAGTTATTCGAACATTTAAACAAACAACTCCTATGAATATACACACTCAAAATAGGGAGTAAAAAGCATGAATTAATCCAATATTTGAAAACAAATAATATCAAAACATCATACGCATAATACGAAAAATATAAGAGGGATAAAAAAATATATTCAAAAGCATTCAAACTAATCCGATTCTCTAAATACTTTTTGTTTTAGTTTAAAAAGGAAAATAGAATCATAAAACTAAGTTTACTAAGTAGGAGAGTAAATTGTATGATACCTCTTCTTCAAAATAGGACGCCAACGAAAAAATTGAGATTAGGGGAAAAAAAATCCAAGTATAAGAAAAACTCAACAATTCAGCAGGACTAACATCAAAGATATTCTCAATCGAAAGACTGTTATTTAAAGTATAGTAAATTGTAGAAAATTAAACTAAAAGAAAATTAGAATTAATGAAAGAAGATGAAACAAAACTTGAAACCGTAAAAATTGAATGAATCATATTTAAAGTTATAAAGTCTTCATTAGAGAATTAGAAGAAAAATAAAGAATCATATCGTAAATAGTAAATTAGAAAAAAAGGAAAAAGTTTATTAGAAGAGAAGAAGAACAGATTCTTACACATTTTGTAGTATAATCATAATTTTCCAAACTTTCTCTTCTTTTTTTTTTTTGTGTACGTAGATGATGATTAATAATCACGAGACATTTAATCTTCTCCTACTTCTCTTCTTTGTCCATTAATAATAGCACTAAGTAAAATAATAGCACTAAGTAAAATAATAACCACACCACATTAATCAGTACTAATTAAAGTAATAATCACATTTCAGTTACTTGCAAGATTACTACCAAAATGTTGTCCAAGAAACTCCCTCTTTATATCCTTCATTAATAATAACACTAAGTAAAGAAACCATTTCAATCATTTTTGTCTCTTTGAATTTTTATTGTCTTTTCTTCTTCACTTCTTTTAATTTTAAGACTTTATTAGTGGTGATTTAAGAGATTATTTCATAACTCAAAAGGAGTACTAGAGTTTTGTGTCTTGAATTTATTAATATATAATTCTCTCAACATTTATCTCAAAGAGATTATTTCATAACTCAAAAGGAGTACTAGAGTTTTGTGTCTTGAATTTGTTATAACATTTATCTTTTCGTTCATTCACGTGTCTCCCTTGTACAATCAGTGACCTCTCCATTCTAATTATCCAATTGGAGGTAACCACCTAATTATTATTTTTTATTTTGTATCCTCTATTTCTTGTAAAATTTTCAGTTTTGATATTTTTTATTCTTCTTCCTTTGCTTTTTTTTTTTTTTTGGATTGTGTTATAAAAATTTGATTGTATTATATTGTTCAATTTTTATGTGTATTTGTCACTTTTTTATCACACTAAATTGTCAATAATTTTTTCATCAGTTATGTTATTATATGGTATCAGGAAGCGCAAACCGTGTGAATTCCATCCAGTGCACACATAATAGGTTAATGTTGCGACGAATCAATGTTTCCTAAATTGAGAAAAAAAATATTAACAGTAATAACAAAATGATAACTATTCCCGCGCTTATGGTCTAGGGAAATTTAAGTTTCTTCTTCTCTTTAGTTTTTTTTTTTTCAAATAAAATAAAATAAACATTATTGTCAAGGAGTTGACATTATTTTACTAGGAATGAAAGACCAATCCCTCCCAACTATATAACTTTCCTGCCCACTGAAGGTTCCGTAGCTAAATGTTTCTAAAAGTTTTCGACTAAAATACTTTCAAATGTCTTCATAGTGGCTCTGGATCCTCTTTGCGTTACACCAATGAAATGATTGGCACGCGTCGTTACAAGTAATGCTAATATTCTCATTATGAATTTATGCTGGTATGATCTGTATGCTGGTATTAAAACTATAGCCACACTAAATTTTAGAGATTCACGGAGCTCAGAATTGGGCACACTCCATTGGGTTTGTCTCTGATGGAGTTCTTCAAGTTGCGTGTTGAATGCATTCAATCTAATGGAAAAGAGAGCAATTTTTTACCATGGGACAAACCTTGAGTAAAAACGTTAGATTGCAAAAGTCTCTATTTGAAAATCATGTAGCAGCCTGGAGAATCTATTATATTGTCATTGTTGATTCCTCCAAAGGGAACGGAAACGCGCTGGAGAATCTACAGGAACCAAACAACAAAGAAAAGGAACACCAACTTAGAACAATATAAAGTGCAGATATGTAAAATGCCATGGCTCCGTACGTGGAGCTCTCCTGAACTCCTCGCTAGGAAAGGAACGTGAACATTCCTAACTGATTTTATAAAATATCAGGAACACAGAGGTAAGCATAATACTCCCACCGTCCTGAAATTATTTTCTAGTTTGGATTTTTATTTTTAGTACAAATTGAACTAAAAGTGAAAATCCAAAGTGAACAATAATTTTGGGACAGAGGAACTATCAAACATGCAATGGGGAGCCAGATATACGAAGTAGTTTTCAACCTTTCCCCATGGCGATTGTTTCGTGTGGTTACCATGTAAAAAGTAAGAAAAAAGATTTCAAGATATGATAAAAATACTCTCTCCGTCCAAGAAAAATATAATACTCCTTCCGTCCCATAATTATTGTCCAGTTTGAGTTTTCAACAAAACTTTGGCTTCACACCTAAAAGTAATAAACAGTACAGAAGCACCAACCTTGCAACAATATATACTCCCTCCATTCCTGTGTAGTATAGGTTGGCCGCTTTGTTGTGCTACTAACACAACTGATAGAGTACATCAACTAGTTTCAAACATATTGACAAATGAAAAGACGAGAATAAAAGAATCGAACCTTTGCAAAGATCTAACCATGTGATGGATGTTATTCATGAGGAACAAGTTGCTAAGAGCAGGATCTTTATTTTGCTTAGATTTCTCATCCAGATTGGTTTGTAAGGCTTGCATTGCTCTCATTATTTCAGCAACTAATTCAGTCTTTGAGCCATCTTTATTTTCAACTTCTTCGAAAAGCTGCTTTAAGGTTGATTCGTAGCTGAAAGTAAGAAACTGAGAAAGTCGGATCAATTATACTCGTGGGGATTGTATTTCAAATGATTTAGTTGCATGTCCCAGAATATATAGGAGCAATAAAAGTAAATGATTCAGTTGCAGGTCCCATATTATAACTGATTTTATTGAAGAAACTCGCAGACCGCTAACATGTGTACAAAAAAGGGCCAGTACATCATAGCAATTTTCACTTACTCGAGCATAAACCTCACGCAGTGAATCACATATTTTGTCATGGGATGAACACTTCCGTCCAGAGGTACCCATTTTGTATCCTCACTTCCAACTTTCTCTTCAAAATCACGAACTTTATCTTGCGCTGCCCGAGCTAGATGCTTTCTCAAACCCAAGACAGATTTTTTAATCTTTTTGCAAGATTTGCTTCAGAAAAGACTTTCGATCTGACATAACACAAGAAAACTGTTCTGATGGTTACAAGAACCAACTCCACCACGGTGCATAGTTCACCTTGGAGATACCTGTGACATTTCACATAACTTGAACCAGAAAAAAATAGGTTGAGGCCCCCGAAGTTTAAAATAAAACGAAAAACCCTAGTGAAGATGATGACATTGCGTACCTCAGAGTGAAGTTCTAGTATTATTTCATACATATCAAGCAGATCAAATAACGTTTCCACAGATAACTTGCACTTAGCAATTGTATCTCTGGTAGGGTGTCAAACCAACAAACAATTTAACCTATTTCCAAACTAATGTAGTACAGGAAAGTAAGGTTGTCTCCTCAGGGAATGGTGAATTTCTCTCTTTTAAATCAAGGAACCAAAAGGGGGGTTTTTGAGTTGTTGAAAAAAATTGCAAACAATAACTAAAATGATTCAAACAAATAATGAGAAAGTATCTAGCTGAAGGGTTTGTATATCCACCTTGATTTAAACAGTTGATCATAGATGCAATGATATTATCATTAACTTATGAGTAGATTAGTTTTCATTGTTGGAACCTCCAAACAATTCAATCTTTCATTTAGTTCAATGATTAAGAAACCTTCATTAATCATATACTAGTCGAAAACTAATCTTGGAACCTCCAAAGATTTAGAAAACTACTACATTAAACACAAAGACCCAATCCCAATTCCTATAAAACAAACCTTGTTTTATATTAAACCGGATTACTTGTTCTTATAACATAAATAATTACTTACCAAGTAATTAAATTATATTATACTCTATTTAAACAACAAACCTTGTTGTTTTATTAGTTTTAGATTATTAAGAAGCACCGAATGCTACCAGCTATTCATGAATCCACAATAATCATATCAATCATGCCATAGAACAAGCAATTACTCACAAGAAATTCAGAGAGAAACAACATTTAAATCTCACAACTATTCAAACCAAGACTTCAATACCCTTCAACCAGATGAATGAATTTAGCTACTCATCATGAAAACTGAATCACAAAAAAAATTCATTGAACAATATTACCGATTGATGTCTATGAACTCGGAAGACTCTAAAAATGAAGAAAGTGCCTTTGAAAGCTCCTTAAAAGTGGAAAACTACGTCTATTTTTATTCTACTACCTACTACTCTTTCAAAATGAAAAGAAAAGTCTATTTATATTCAGAATATAGGTCAGCCGCAGCAGCCTTCTCAGAAATCCGCAGCAGCAAATTAACTTTTCCGAGATTTGCATATTGATCCCTCAAATTTGGCAAAATTACATTTTGACCCAAAACTTTGTCAATTTTTCATTTTAGTCCCTGTTGCGGTTTGGCCAAACGGGAATGCAGCTTCAATGCTGGAATTTCTTCTCTAAAGCTCAATTTTGGACTGAGATTCGTGTGCCCACACGAGAATGTGATGTCATTGCTCCTTCTTGTGCTTCCTTGTCAAAATGCTCCAAAAATGTGTGTTTATGAAACATTTTGCTCCATCTCATCTCTAAGGACTCCTAGGAACCAAAAACATCAAAATACATAATATAAGTGCACAATATAATCCAAAATACTATACAAATACCTATAAATAATATGAAATTTCAAGATCTATCAATCTCCAAAGCTAAGCAGCGCAGCAACAGTCCCGGCAGTGACTTCAGAGAAACACTGATCCTTGAGGGAATCAAGGCCCTCAAACAATTGATCACAAACTTCGCGTTCCCCAGCAAACAGTAATTTGACCTGTTCCAAAAATTTATTAGCCAAATAAATAATATAAAAAAAAACAATAGAGATGGTGTTCAGGAACAGAACCTACAGAAATCCGCAAAAAATGCACCCTAAGAGCTTGCAAAAAATGCAGAAGCAACAGACAAGTGGCCGATAATTTAATCACTATGCCTTTGCATGTATTTGAGCCATTAACTCATTGGAAACTAATAAATTGACTCCATCCATCCCCAAATGATTTTCTAATTTGGACTTTCAGTATAAAAAACACTGGAAATCCAAACTGGATCATCATTTTAGGGCAGTGAGAATATACAATACCACAATTTAATGGAAATGGCCATAAACACAGATTTCATAGTTTTCCACTTGCACCGGTGACTTCACAATAAAATTCTCTCAAATATCATAAATTAACAGCATCAAAAGAATTTGACAGTCAATAAAATCAAATTGTCAAGGATTGGAAAGAAATCCTAGTTTCATCCAACATGTAAAAGAAGAAATGTTATTATCAAAGGCATTGAATCGATTACTTCCCAAGTAGAGCTCCATGGAAGGAAAGTTAAAAGACAAAGGTTAGAACCAATCCAAACCGAGTAGAAACAGAATTTTCAGAACTCAATCACTTGAACCTTTGTTAGAAAACAAATAATGGATTTAACAAAAAACGGGCAAGCTCTTTCAGATTGCATAATTGTTCATTGAATCCTAGGAAGAGATCATGGGCGAAAAATGTTGCACACGCGGATCATGTAAATTATACCAGTCATACAACCGAAAACTCCTTCTCAATACTGAACAATCATTTACGAAATTAAAGATTGCTAGACCAACTGGCCTAGTTGACTATACCTAGGCATTTAGGAAAGCTACAAAGCCTACTATTCTTTAAGATAAGGGAACTTTTATAAGTCCATGTTATCAATTCTTTCTGCAGAAAAAAAAAAGAAAAAAAAATTGAATGTTGGATGTCACATTGCTCCATGAATGACATTTAATTACCTATAAATTTTAGATAATTGCTGCTGGTACCCAGCTTCAACCATTCTCTCAGCTAAATCCGTTACGAAATATGTATATATATTTGTATACGGTTAGTTTCGTCGTTTGTACGTACTAGGGTTTCCACCGTAAACCCTAAATGATGTGTATATATAGTCTCTCTGTGGACCGATCAATACAGTATCATGTTTTATGCCGGCCATTTAGTTTGTGTCATGGTATCGAGCCTCTTTTGGGCCATCAATTATTTTTTTTTAGGGCTTTCTTTTTGCCGTAATTTTGACCCCGCCGTTCTTCTTCTTCACTGATTTCTTCTTCTATTCCTGGTGATCACGACTTTCTTGCTTCTTCTTCTTTGTTGATCCATATCACCAGTTTTGCCCGCCGTCGTTCTCCTTCTTATTTGCCCTCTGTTTTTTAGTTTGGTTTGTAGCCCGTCTTCGTTTTTTGGACGTTGTTGCTGCTGTTTGTTGCTACCGTCCCTGTTCGTTCTGCTGCTGTTTGTTGCTGCTGTCCGTTTTTGGAAATTTGCAGCCCTCTGTGCACATGCCGTCAGTTTCTTCTTCTTGCCTGTTGCCGATTTCATCTGCTGCTGCTTTCTTTCTCACTGCTGTTGTTGTTGCTTTGTTGTTGTTGTTCGCTCAGCCGCCCATCTTCACGGCATCTTTTCGCATAGTCGGTGGCTCCGTTCTCGCGCTCGCCGTCCGGTGTCGAGCTTACGCTGCCGCCGTCCTCAGCCGCCGCCGGTTTTTGATCATTCGTTTTCCTTCTTCTTTTTCCGGCGGCTTCTGATCCATTTGGTAAAAAAAAAAAAAAAAAACCATCGCCGTCTTTGCCTCATGGCGCACGGTGCAAAAGAATCCAGTACTCCATCTCCCACCCTTCTTTCCATTGGTACTGCTGCTCCGCCGCCAGTTCCTGATGTTCCGAAACGTCGTACAATTCCTCCGTACGACCTTATTACCGGTGACAATCCAGGAACGCCGATCACTCAGGTTATGTTGAAGACTGATAATTATGATGAATGGTCTTTGTCTTTGTTAAATGCGCCTTGCGAGCGCGTAAGAAATTTTGTTTGGTTGATGGCTTGCTTCCTCAACCGCCAGCGACGTCATCCGATTTTGAGGATTGGTGGACAAACCAATCTTTGATTGTTTCCTGGTTGCGTAATTCCATCGAGCCATCCGTTCGTTCCACAGTTCCTCACCGCGAAGTTGCTTCGGTTCTCTAGACGGATCTACGTGAACGCTTCGGCATTGTGAATGGTCCCCGGATTCAGCAGCTCAAAACCGATCTAGCGAATTATAAGCAGAAGGGTTTGAGCAGTCCTGTTCTTGTGGTTCTCCTATCGTCCTTGCGGAATCGGAATGGCGTCAGGAATCTGAGAAGATGCATCATTTATTCATGGACTGGATGCCTCCACGTATGGCACGCTTGGTCGAGTTTGCTCTCTCAAGACCCGCTGCCCACTTGTCAATCGTGCCTATTCGTTGCTTGTCCGGGAAGAGCGGCTGCGGTCCATCTCCAATGGGACTGATGAAGTTGCAGCTGATGCTCTGAATTTCACGGTTCAAGCTCCACGGTCTGCCCAGCTTCCCACTCCACCGTCCAGCTGGTCTACTTCTCGGTCTCGGTCTAACTCCAAACCAATTGAGCCAAAAGCCAAGTCGATTATTTGCACTCACTGCTCCAAACTGGGTCATGACATTTCCAATTGTTTTGATCTTATCGGATATCCCGATTGGTGGCCTCACTCTGCCGGATTCAAGTGGTTCGACTGGCCGGCTCGGTTGGTCGTGGTGGTAGTTCCTCCGATCATGTGCGTGGTGCTAGTTCGGG